TAATTCAGTTTAAGCTCCTGACCTTCCGCAGTTTATCATTGCTTTATTGATTGCAAATCGAAAATAATAAGCGAACGTTACAAGTTCTGTTTAATGGTTTATGTTCCCTAAATGTTCATTGAAAAAAAATTTGTTCTTTTTGCAGGTATACATTCTCAACCAATTTGAACTGTTTCAGGAAGTTTTAGAAAAGATCACACACAGAAACGCAGGAAAAAATATCGTTTGAATTTTTTTTTAAAAAATCTAATCACTCGCATGGTCATAAAATATGTTATAAATTAAAGATTTGTAAACAAATTAGGTGGATCACTCATGCTTTGATATAGTATACAACAAATGGGAAAAACAATTTTTTCTGTTTCCTGTTAAAACATGAATGCGTTTTCAACCGTATTTTTCTTTCAAACATTTTGCCGATTGAATCTTTTAAAAGAGTTATTTTGACTCGGTAAGATTCTTAAGCATAACAGGATTGATTTTTTTTTTGTTTTTTAAAAAAAAATTTTATACACATTGATGACCTTTTATCTATAACGTTTCTTTCCCTCATTTTTTGGGAGGCCGTAACTCATATTATTGAACCGAATAAAGCTCATTGTCTGTTATCATATGCGTCGTGAAATTAATAGTTCTCTCTTATATTATAAAACATCCCCTGCCTCTTCATTTGAGTCTAAGTTTGAATTTTTTTGGAGAGCTAAGTCTGGATATGCGACTATTCTTGCCATTTTTATTTTTGTTTTTTTTTTGTTTTTTTTTCGTTCCTAAATTTTTTTAAAACAGCTTGAATCAATTGTTAATTTTTTTTTGGTTTCAAATGGAATCGATGTACTAGAGTTAACTTAGAAAGTAATCGAGAGCGAAGAAATTTATTGTTCTTCTGGTATATATTATGTTGTCTGGAATGTTTTTTTTTCTTGGATAATTATGCCTATTTCGGGAGTGTTTCTTCGGAAATTGAAATATAGTTCATGTTCATCTTCATTAAACCGTTTCGATAAATTGCTTATTTGAGCTCTTCCGGTGTTAGAAATGTACCAAAGAATTCTAGTAATTTTACTTCCTACTTTCAGCTGCAATTTTAAAATACTAACTTCGATTTTATTTTGTGTTGACATTATTTTTTGACAGTGATCTTTTTTGTTTTTCTTAAGCTAAGTTAGTTAGATGATTAGTGTGTACTAGAAAAATTGAAAGTTTCCTAGGATTTGTTGATTACTAACTAAAGTTATTGATATTGCAATGAGAAAACAAATCAAAAAAAATTTGGATAAAAATTGTTTCAATTTTTTTTGGAATTTTAAAAAGTTTTTGAGTGCTGAAACCCTAGTTAAAACTGAAACTTTATTTGCAGGAAGTTTATTGGTGTCTTTGTTGTGATAAGCAATATAATCATATACTTTCTGCGGTAATCACTGGCTTAAAACCGTACTTTTTTTTTATAAAATTTTTTTATAAAAATTTTTTTATAAAAATTACTGAAACTATAATCTGAAACCTGAAACTATGGTCGCTGAAGTTGAGTTTTTGATCTTTAAATTTTTCTAAGGGCTTTAGTATACCTTGTTTAATCTTTATCATGCGCAAAAATTTGAGAAAAACTAATTTTTTGTTATTCTGGACCTTGTTTTTAAAATCTCAAACCTGAAACCCTCTAAAAAAAAATGGTTTTTGATAGCTGCTCTAGTGTATATTAGAATTAAAAACATGTTTCTAACATCAAAATCACAAGTTTGTTTGCGGAAACCTCAGCTTTTGGGGCTGAAACTATGATTTCTAGAACTGAAACTATGTTATCATCATTTGGTTTTAGAGCTTTGAATTTGAAAATCTAGGTTGGTATCTCTAATATATTTCTATTCCAGCAGTAAAATTGCCAAAAAAATGAGATTTTTTGCCTAAAACATTGCTTTTAGTTGCCTGAAACTATAAATTTGAGGGCTCAAATTAGCACCTCCTTGAAGTTTTTTTGAGTTTAAAAAATGTTTAGTGCATTAATATTTACTACTATCTACCTATATTTTACAAAATTTTGACTTGGGATGTAATATTTGTGTGTCTGAAACCAAAAACACCAATTCTGTAACGTAGGCCTTAGAAACCAAATTCAGTCTTAGGAACTTTGAAACTGGTTTGGGGGGTTTCAACACCGTCAGTTTTCTCTGAAAAGTCAAAATTCGACGTTCGGAGCTCAATTTTGAGACCAAAAACTCAATTTTTGTGGTCTGAAACATGAAACTAAAAAACAACTTACCGTTTAAGACCAGATTTTTGACTTCTGGTATCCAAATTTGAGTTTCATCATTCCATCTTTTGCTGTTTTACCCGACTCCGTTCACAGAAACTTAAATTTTTGACCGGAAGCTATACTTATTTCAACTGAAACGTTTGATCCTATATCTGAAAACTAGATTAAAACCTAGAAATTTAGCTGGTAGAAATCAAATTTCTAAAGCTTAGGCTGTCATATGAAACCTGTTTTTGCAATATAAAATGGATGTATTAGTGTTTTAGTTTTAGTTTTTGTTGTGAAATCTAATATTCTTGTGCTGAAACTAAAATTTGGTGTTTTTGGTGCTATTTGGTTTATGTTTAAGATTGGTTTCGTGGGTTATTTGTTTTGTTTTTTCAATGTATATTCAAAACGTGTCATGAAAAGCTAATGTTTTGACTAAAAAAACACCCAAAACGGTTCCTTCCTTCTTCGTTTTCATGAGTTCCTCCCTTAGTTTCAGTAATTGATAGCTTTACTGATAGATTAATTAGGTTTAAGTTACGTTAAGATGGATAAAATAAAATGAGTTTAAGGAAAACTGAGGATAAGCCTCGACAAATGGTGAAGGAGTTAAATTAATAGCAACAAGCTGAATGGTTGGATATATATTTGATGAAGAATTCAATTTATCATACAATTTGGGGTACTCTTAGATTGCATACAGGAACTCTTACCCTAAAATAACTAATTTAAGAATGAATTGAAATATTCAGGTTAGTTGAGCTATTTTAGGTGAAAAAGTTGTTAACTTGTCTAAGTTATAAGTTTTAACTAGCCGATTTGGCCAGAATACGTTTCCTTTTTTTTGGTATATAATAGTTATTTTAATAATACGTTAAAATGTCATGAGATAAAGTTAGCAGAGAGCTGTCAAAGACTGATGCGTGATAGAGAAGATATTGATAACCTTAACTCTATCTAGGACTATCTGGCAATAGGGCGGTCAATTAGAATGCGTGTTCTAAAGATAGATAACCTCTGTCTCTACCTTTTTGAAGTTGGAAACAGACTAACAGAAACTCACTTTCCTAATATTTGTAATAACTACAGTTAAATATTTTGCTTACAGACCTGTATATAATTTGAAAGGAGTATTTCTCTGCTCAAATCGCACCAGTTTTATTGAGCGAAAAGTTCGGTTCGATTGATAGATCCCTTGGTTTCAATTAGTAACTAAAATTATAAGTCTCAGTTAAGTTATATCATAGATCATAGTCGATCTGGTCCTAAAGTTAAAATAATTATTATAAAAACAGATAAATCAAAAGGATAATTGAATAAGTATAGATTAGTTATAAATGGATGAACAACTTTCCTAAATACCAAATCGGTTTTGGGTTTTTAGATTAAGATACATTTATTTAAATTAAAGGAAAACAATAAAATCTTACCTCTGTCAATTCAGGAATTTCATATTTTTCACTTTTTGCTTAAAGAAAATTTAGTGATAAATAAAAAGGAAAATAATTCTACTCGACTGAGCTAGTGGGGAAAATAAAAATTCTGAAGATTCAGATTCATTTATTTTTGAACTATTTGGCTGAGACAAATCTGCACCTGCATTCTAGGCTTCAAACTTCATTTTTCCCCTTTTTCACTTCCTTTAACATTTTTGGAACGATTTCTAAAACGGATTAAATAGTGTTTATAGCTCGAAATATATGGCGTGTTAAATGTCCCAAATTGGCCAAAATGGCAATCTTTAAATTCCCATAACTTTGCGAAAAAAGATCACAGGTGAAATATCTTTTCGACTTTAAGCTCAGGACAGCAATAGCTTCCGTTCCGGTTGATATTAAAAATTTCCGTCAAAATGGCTAGTTAAAAAGTGGAAACTTGTCTGAAGAAAAAACCCACCCCGAGCACAAATATTGCGTTACTTTCGTATCGAAAGGCATCAATAGGCGCTCAGAAAGAGTGCCGGTCTAAGCGCTCACAAAAGTTTCTTGTCGCTGAACCATTTGTTTATAATCATCAATCATGCGAAATATCCAAAAATACTTGGTGAATCTAAACTTTCAATTGATGCGATTAATTTTTTCTCCAATAACCGGATCCACCAATTAGAACAAAAAAATGCAAAGAAACAAAAACTTCGGAACTCAGATGCCCTGTCATATCATCAGGTCTGAGTAAACTTTTAAGTGTTAAAATGTAACAAGACTGCTCGTATCGAGGCGAAGCCCTGAGTGTTCCGACTGCCTTTTAAGGTCTACGGAGCATTAGTAACACGAAAAAATAAATGTAAGAAAAATCAAACGCCCCCACATGTCCCCGCCCCCACACGCCATGTATAGTACTATGTGATAAAAATCGCTGCAAGTAACAAATCAATTATGGCAAAAATGCTTCTTTCAAACAATTTGGAACGATTTCTAAAACGGATTAAACCTCCGCTTACTCGTTAATAGTTCGAAAAATATCGCGCGTTAATGGTCCCAAATCGGCCAAAATGACAATATTTAAACCCCCATAACTTTACAAAAAATGATAACAAATAAAATTTATTTTCAATTTTAAACTCAGGACAGCAATACCTTTCGAATAATATACAAAAATTTTGTCAAAAATGGCTAGTTAAAAAGTCGAAATGTGTCTGAAGAAAAAAAAACCCACTCCGAGCACAAATATTCCGTTACTGTCGTTACGAAAGTCAGAACAATGAGAGTACGGTCTCGGAAGAATTTGTTTTCTATGTTCACCTGAAATGTCCACTTTTCAGGTGCGAGAAGTGGCTCGTCAGCTGGGAGACGAGAAAATTGCCCGCTTTGAGAACTCGCGGGGATCCGAGAACGAGTTCGACCCATACTACCAAGAGATGGATACACCACTATCACGTAAAATTAAAAAGACTTATTCTTTTAGGTGGCAGCTATCTTACGAAGCAAAATCATTGTCACATTAGATGTAGTATGATAAATATTTGTAGCTCGCTTACAGTTGAACAAAGGAACTCTAAGATCAATTTTAGAGATTATCAACAATAGAGCTGGTGAAAACATGGTTACAGAACTCAGTAGTATAGACCAGAGGCGGCGGATTTAGGGGGGGGGGGGGAGGGAGCAGACGCCCCCCCCCCTCCCCCCTCAGGGACTTGACCCCCTGCCGACCCAAAGGGTCCCCCCTTTGTACTATTTTCTAATATCCATTTTTGGTGATGGACCCTAACAATTTTCTAAAGGCGCCTTTGGCGCCAATAAATACTAATTTTGAGGGGGGAGCGCGCGCCGAAAAAACGCGACTTTTTGGTCAAAATTTTCCAAAACGTGTGGCCTGTTTTTCAAAATTTTGGCCAGTACAGGGTCTTTTTAGTGCTTTAGGAGAGCTCAGAAAATCAATTTGGTCGACCTAAAAAAAGGAAAAAAGGTCGACAAAATTTTCCCGCCCCTCCCTTGAGAAAATCCTAGATCCGCCCCTGTACAAATAGTGATTTTGAAGACCATTATTTTAACCAATTTTTTGTATAACATTTTGGAAATTTTGATTTGTTTTTCTATTTTTTTTCGTACAAGCCATAAAAAAAATTGTTTTATTATTATGAACGATTCAAATTTTATATTTTATGCTTCTTTTTTTTTCAAACGACGGCGTTTCATGAACAGAACTAGTTCTCCTCGACAAAGGGTAAAAAAGTTAAATTTTATTTCCTGAAAAACCCAAATCTTTTCAGCACTATCGGCTTGTGAACAAAAAAGGCGATTTGTTTTCAGTGTTCAAGACTAGTGGATCCACAATGAAAAGTCTCATTTCTAACATCCAGTCCAAAATCAACGACTACGAGGCGGCTGTCGTCGAGAACCGACTGAGCAGAGCCCGACTGCATTACGTCACAGTTAGTCACGAGGCACACTCGGATGACGTCATTGAACAGCTGGAGAGTGAAATGGACAGTTTAGTGTCTGTAGTGGCGAGACACCAAACTCTAGATGGTATTAATAAAATGGTTTGCATAGCGAAAAGTAGACAGTCAACAAGCAAACAAAGTCGTGAGCCAATCAGAATCGAGATAAAAAAGCAAGAGTACGAAATATTTTTGTTTCTCGATTCTGATTGGCTCACGGCTTTGCCTGCTCTATGACTGTCTACTTTTTCGACCGCACTCCTAAAAAATGAAAATGTATTTTGAAGATACCATATTTTCTTAACTGAGACTTGTTTCCGAAGCAAAATAATTTCAAAAGCTCTCTTGATTCATCACGCTTTTTTCAATTCTGTCCGACTCAACATTTTGCTTTTATTTTACTAGTAACGAACTGAAAAAAAACCTCAGAAAACCACTAGATTTGAACAGTTTTAAACAGCTTTAGATGTCACAAAATAGGCGAATCTTTTGGGAATATAAAAAAATATACAAAACAGGCGAATTAAGGATTTTTTTTGGGAAAAACTATTATTTTCAAGAAGTGTTAAATTGTGTTACCCCTTCAGGTATTGAGAGAGTGATTTTCAAACCAACCGAAAGAGTAGAAAAACCGATCGAATTTCTACTAGAAGACGAATTCAGCCTGCCTCCCATTCTCCCATTGGCCTCTGAAATTGACGTTGACTCATCGATACCTTCAATTCTTTACTCGGATGATGCGAACAACCAACATCCGGCCAAAAAGAGGCTGAAAACGCTTCTGCATAAAGTCAGTTTCAAAATATTTATAGAAGAGATTAAAATCAGCTTCTTTTGCACTTGCCTCAAAATTTCTAAAAGATGCCAGTTTTTTAACAAGTCATATTTTATTAGCTTTCAATTTATTTGGTGAAATTGATTGAAAAAAAATCACACTGAAAACTATTTGACCAAATATTTCCTGGTAAACTTCCTTTTAAAAGAAAATATAAACAAGGATAGCAGGCTTCCTCGCAAGTTGCACAGAATGTTCCGACGATAGTCTTAGAAAAATATAAAAAGTCGTTTTTTTCTGCGTGGTAAGATAAAAATTTCTGAACGAAAAATTAGAACTTAAGCATAGTCGACAGTCAAAGAAAATAGGCAAATTGTAAAAATTTTTTGCAGAATTTTTTTGAGTTTTGAAGTTTTTGATTCCGAATTTGGCTCTAAAAACCCCCCACCCCTCCCCCCTCTAATCCGCTCCAGTATGTAACAATCATCAGCCCTTTGATTGATAGTTTTTTGATTATTTTTGTTAGTTTTTGATCAAAATCTGTTACTACAATACAAATAATCATCGGAATGGGTCGAGTGATATATCATATTGGAACCTTTTCAGTCGTGATCTGAACGATCTTTGAACTTTTTAGAATTTTTTCTCAGTGTCGAGAAAACCAGTTTGTAATTTTTGATTTTTGGTCTAATTTCAAGCTAAAAAGAGAAAAGTGCAGGCTTCCAATTGCGTATTAGTATTTATCTTAATTAAGCCTTTAACACCAAAAACTAACTTCACTCACGAAAAACTAGGTGTTAATGGCTTAATTAGGATAAATAACATTAATACGCAATAGGAAGCCTGCATGCTTCTCTTATTCTCTTGAAATTAGACCAAAAATCAAAAATTACAAACTGGTTTTCTCGACACTGAGAAAAAATTCTAAAAAATTAACACTCCGATTATTATTTGTATTGTAGTACCCGATTTTGATCAAAAACTATTACTCAAAAGGGTTGATGATTGTTATATACTGTAGTAGCGGATTTAGAGAGTGGAACGGATGACCCCTTTGTACTATTTTGGGTTATCCCTTTTTGAATGACTGATCTTAAAATTTTTCTAAAGGCGAATATATACTAATTTTGAGGGGGGAGTCCGACATTTTCCAAAAAGTGCATAAAAAACGCTTTTTTTGGCCGGTTTTTTTTCAAAAACTGGCCATCGGCGCAAAAAAAATTGGTCAATATAGAGGGTCTTTATAGAAAGTGATATAGGAGATCTCAGAAAATCAATTTTGTCGACTTAAAAAATGGCGAGAAAAATTTCAAACATTTTTTGAAAATCGCCCCCCTCCCTCGAAAAATTCCTAGATCCGCGCTTGGTTATATAATTTAAAAAAATCATCTAAAGGAATGAATTTATCCATTTTAGGTAGCGGAAAACATGGAAACACTTTCGCAGAAAAAAGCAACGAGCATTGAAGTCCAATCGATAGCATTGTGTGAAGAAACAAGCTCCTTTGTTGAATATTGCGGCACTGAAAATGCATTGGTCGGAGGTGAAGCATCTACACATACAGAAATGGTCAATCACCTGTGGATTTGTGGTCCTGGCAACACGAGGAAACTAATAGGGGTAAGATATTCAACAGTGGCCCCCTCAATGATACGATCCCCAACCGACCCAAAGGGTCCCCCCTTTGTACTATTTTGAGATATCTAAGTTTGGTGACGGACCCTAAAAATTTTCTAAAAGCGCTTTTGGCGCCAATATATACTAGTTTTGAGGGGCAGCGCGCGCCAAAAAAAACGTGATTTTTTCGCCAAAATTTTCCAAAAAGTGCCTAAAAACGCTTTTTCTGGCCTGTTTTTCAAAATTTTGCTTGCGGCGCAGAAAATTTGACCAAAAACCAAAACAGGTTCTTGGTCATTTTAGTGATTTGGAAGAGCTCGGAAAATCAATTTAGTCGACCTAAAAAAAAATATGTCGACAAAGTTTTCGAAATTTTTTTGAAAATAAGCCCCCCTCTCAAGAAAATCCTAGAAAACCCCTGATATTCAAGATATACTTACCGTTTTTTTCCGACTTTTGTTTAAAAAAAAGGAATATTTGTGCTCGGTGTGGGTTTTTTTCTTCAGACAAACTTCGACTTTTTAACTAGCCATTTTTGACGAGATTTTTAAAAAATCACTCAGAATTGAGCTTACATTTGAAAAGATATTTCAACTGTGATCGTTTTTCGTAAAATTATGGGGGTTTAGAATTGCCATTTTTGCCAATTTGGAACAATAAACGCGCAATGTATTTCGCGCTATTAACTCGTTCCAAATTGGTTGAAGGAAGCTTATTTGCCATACTTGATTTGTTACTGGGAGCGAAATCTATCACTTTGTATTATATATGGCGTGTGGGGGGATGATTTTCACTAAAATGCTAAAATTAAACCCCCATCTTCAAACCTCCATAAGCATACAAAAAATGATCTCTGGTGAAATTTTTCTTTCCAAATTTAAGCTCAAGACCACAATACCTTTTCAATAAAATAAAAAAGTCAAAAATCGTACGACTAATATTTTCACACTTGACCTTTGATATTGCCCTAAGTTTATAATTTTTCAATATTTTCTTTTCTTAACAACTTTTCGATATGTACTAAGGGGCAGTCGAGACCTTGAGGACTCTTAGGGTCCATAAATTGAAATAGCAGCGAAAGATTTAATTGAATGAATTAGTTTCCCATTTTTAGTATCAAGAGATTAAAGATCATGACTTCAGAGATTATTCACATCGGTATGAACGAATTATTACTTCAGATGAAAGTCAATTGGTTTTAATTAGACAGTGTGCTAAATATATATAATGCACAGTTGAAACCCCCACTCAATTGGCGAACATCTGAAGCCCAAAACGTTTGCACTTTGTCTTGCCCAAATTCTTAGTGAGAATATCAGCCACCATATTGTCAGTCCCAATATAGTTCAAATCCAACTGTTTCTTTTGAATTAAGTCCCTGATGAAATGTAGATGAATAGCAAAATGTTTTACGACTCCCTTGTTAACGTCGTTTTTCACAAGAGAAATACATGCTTGGTTGTCCACAAACATTTTGAAATCAATTAAATCGAGTTTGATTTCGATCAGTAAATTCAACAGGAATAATCCTTCATTACAGGCTAACGAAAGAGCTGTAGCCTCTGATTCAGCTGTAGATTTTGCAACAGTAGTTTGGAGTTTGCTAGCCCACGATATTGCACCGCTGTTTTCAAACAGGAAAAAGCAATATCCACTAGTACTGCGTCTAGTGTCACTGTCACCTCCCCAATCAGAATCAGAATAGCCATACAAGATTGGCGTAGCAGTACATCGTCTGTAGATAAGTTTATACGATCTAGTTCCTTTCAAATATCGTAGAACTCGTTTTGCAGCAATCCAGTGTACTTCAGTAGGGTCGTTCACATATCTACTCAAGCAATGAGCGATGAATGAAATATCAGGCCTTGTAGTAATTGACAAGTAACTTAGACTGCCGATAAGTCCTCTATAATCTTTGTCGTTTGCTAATTTCACCTCATTTGGTAGCCGTTTACAAAGTTTTAAACCATCAGCTGCAGGTGTAGACACTGGTTTACACTCAATCAAACCAAATTTTGACAGTAGCTTGTCAATATACGCTTCCTGAGAAATTTCTAACCCATCCCCACAAAAGTTGAATTTCATCCCCAAAAACCAATAAAGTTTTGCTGTTTCGCTGATTTTGAATTGACTAGATATTTGTTGTTCAAATGATATAAACTTGTTAGCATCATTGCAAGCGTAAATTATATCATCCACCCAAATGCATACGTATTCCAAAACATCTTTTGAAATTCTCATGAAAAGACAGGGATCACTTTTTGACGCTGTAAAATCTATTGACTTAAGGAACATCTGTAAGGTATAGTACCAATTTCTTCCTGACTGCTTTAATCCATAAATAGATTTATTTAGCTTACAAACAAGTTGATTACCCCCACTGTCTTTCTGCTCAAAACCTTCAGGTTGTTGCAGGAAGACATTCTCTTCCAAATTAGCGTTTAGATAGGCTGTTTTTACGTCCCATTGTCTTACATCAAAACCCTTAGCTGTTGAAATTGCTAAAATAAGTCGTAATGTTGCCATTTTTACTGTAGGACAAAAGGTTTCCTTGAAATCAACGCCTTTGATTTGATTGTAGCCTTTAGCCACATATCTTGCCTTGTATCTTGAAATTCCCCCCTCATTATTGTATTTCAAAGTAAAATGCCACCTTCCCCCCAAAATAGTTTGATCCGTTTGTGGAACTAATTCCCAGACATTATTGTCGATCAGAGAATTATATTCATCCTGCATTGCTTTTTTCCAATTGGGGTTAGAAAGTGCATCGTTAGCATTTTTTGGCAAATTATCAACATAAAAAGTTGCATCAGCTAGCCAACACTCATCAAAAATTGTCTCATTTCTAAAAAATGAAATCTCAGGCGCATTTAATTGTTTGATCCGTTCGCTGCGGCGTAATTGATCATTTTCAAGGTTTCCGCCATTAACATTATCCGCAGAATTTTTCTCAGAAATCTCAGAATAGTTTTCAACGCTTATTTCCAATTCCCGTCCAGAATCATTTTCATCGTCATTTTTGAAAGGAAAAACTTTTTCATCAAAAGTAACATTTCTACTCTCCAAAAATTCAAAGTTTCCATCAAGCTCAGTTCCTACTATATAACATTTACTGTTCAGACTATATCCAAGCAGAAATCCTTTCACGGCCCTTGAATCAAGTTTTTCCATGTTTACTTTTTCGACAAACATATATGCAGCACAACCAAAAATTTTTACGTGTTTCAAATCAGGTTTGCTTTGGAAAAATTTTTCGTATGGGGTTACCCCAATTGCAGAATGATAAACTCGGTTTTTCAAGTAGAAAGCTGTTTTCAATGCAAAAGACCAAAATTTCTTTTCCATGCTGGCAGTTTGTAAAAGACATCTAGTTATTGCCATTACACTACCCCAAGTTCGCTCTATTTTACCATTTTCCTCTGGTGTATAAGGCGCAGAAAATTCAGTTCTTATGGCATTATCAAGACAAAACTGTTTAAACTTTCCAAATTTGAACTCTTTTGGATTATCACTAGCTATTGTTTTTGGTTTACCATAATCCGCTATGAACTGTTTGAGCATCTGAGTGCTATCACTTTTATTTTTCAATAAGTAAACCGCAGAAAATCTTGTGTAGGAATCAATAAAACCTATTGCGTACTTAAAATTGTCTACAGATATCGTATCAATTGGTCCCAAAATATCCGTATGAACAATTTCTAGTTTTTCTGTAGCTCTAGTCCCCCAAACTTTTGGTATCGCTTTCCGCTTAGCTTTTTCAGTTTGACAATCAACACAGTTATTATGTTTCTTTTGGCTAAATTTAACTCCCTCCGTTAGATTTTCTAATTTCTTGATGTCATCAAAATTATTATGACCAAGCCGTTTATGCCAAATTTCTATGTCCGAAACAACCATTGCAACATTTTCCACAGAGTGTTCATTTGCCAGTTCAATTTTCATTTTGAAAAGATCTCGTTGATTTTGAAGCAAAATTTCAGAACTATCTGGTAAAATTATTCTGGGACAAACATCATCAAACATTACATCAGCTTTATTTCTGTTAAGTTTAGATACAGAAACTAAATTTGCCGTATACGTAGGTACAAACACAGTATCTTTCAGTTCTATAGTTATCAATCGACCATCACTTGTTTGAACTTTAAACGTTACTTTTCCCTTTCCCACAATTTTTGAATTACTTCCATTTGCACAGCCAACATTTCCATTAATATTCGTATCAAGTTCCGTAAAAAATTCGCGTGTTTTAAACATATGCGCAGAGCAACCGCTATCAATCAAGCAAAATTTGTCGGAATTTACGCCAAAATCATTGTCATTAGAATGAAAACTGAAAAAGTCGACAGTGTTTTCATTTTCTGAAGTAAAATGGCTTTTGTTTTGTTGATTTTTTGATGTAAACCGTTTTTGATGGCTGCTATTTGAATGGTTATTTTGGGTATTTTTCCTACAATCTCTAGCAAAATGTCCCATTTGATTGCAATTGTAGCATTTTATGTCTTTCTTGCAATCCTGTTTTCTATGACCTTGCTTTCCGCAACTGTAGCATTTAATAGTTTTATTACTAAAAAACGTTTCATTTGTTGAATTTTTCTGCAAAAAAGTCTTGCTTGTTTCGGCAAAATTTGACAAATCTCTTTTAATCTCGTCCAAGCTTTTTGCATCTTTCGAAAAATTCACCACAGTTGTAAAATTATCAAATTCTTTTGGTAGTCCTTTTAAAAGCATTGCAATCATCATTTTTTCAGAAATACCCTCTCCCGCTTCTTGTAGATTCATTTGCAAATTTTCCGATCTAAGTATGTAGTCCTTAATCGATTCGCTCGCCTCTAATTTCAAATTAGAATTTTCATTTAACATTCTTTGAACACGTGGTCGTTCCGTACTTTTAAAGTAGCTTTGCAGCCGATTCCATGCCGCTGAACCATCTGGTTTATCGCGTTTTATTAGCATTACAGACTTTCGATCAAGGCATTGTATTAATTCACACCACAATTGTTCTTTTCTATCATTAACATTAGTCTCATTTTCACTACTTCCTGGAACATCTGTTCCCTTCAACGTTTTCTTTAAATTCAAAAGAACTATACGAGCTTCAAATTGCTCAGCAAAATACTCCCAATCATTTTCATTTCCCGAAAAAGTCAATTTTTCTAATCTTGTTTGAATACTTCGTGCCATGGTTAAATGTCACTTCAAATTTCGAATTGTAAAACTTCTCTTTCAAAACTTCTCTTTTCTTTCAAAACTTCTATTTTCAAAGTTGTAATTCATACAACCAATTCTTTTCTTTCTCTTGAAATCCTATTCATACAAACCACCGTAGAATTTTACTCTCTGATGCTGTCAGGCGTAGAGTCTCAATTCTTCACGAAATCGCCCATAACCTCTTAGGGTCCATAAATTGAAATAGCAGCGAAAGATTTAATTGAATGAATTAGTTTCCCATTTTTAGTATCAAGAGATTAAAGATCATGACTTCAGAGATTATTCACATCGGTATGAACGAATTATTACTTCAGATGAAAGTCAATTGGTTTTAATTAGACAGTGTGCTAAATATATATAATGCACAGTTGAAAAGGACTTTGCATTGATTTACGAGCAGAGCAGCCTTGTTTAATTTTAAGGTTTTAAACTCGATTATCAGTAAAAGTGATATTTTTCAAAAATACAATAAGTAGAGCCGTCATATCTTTGGTTCAGTCCAAAATGTCAAGGGGGTGGGGACAATTCGTTACTGGGTACCATAGGGGGTAGTGAGAGACATCCAAGATTTATTTAAAGCATGATTCAAATATGAAAAAAGGATCTTTGCTGAAAGAAAGCTACAAGCTACTCGTGAAATTTCTGGGTTGACCATCTTAAAAAATGCCACTATCTTAGAGCTTAGAAAAGGATAGTGCTTCTAGTTTTATAAAAACTACAAGACGACTTTCGGTCATACAAGTTCTCGAATGTTCGAAATGATAATGATTGAATTTGGTTGTGGTTTGAATTTGCAGCCGGAATCTTCTAGAAGGAAAAAAACTTTGAATGAGACAAAAACTAGTCCCAGTGTGAGTCTGACTCCACAGGCTAAAAAGAAGAAGGCACAAGGTCACAAAGAAAGGAAGAAGAAACAACAAACAGGTCGGAAATTTAATTTCTTGAGTTTAAGAGTTAACACAGAGTTATCAAAGAGTTAACAACTCTCTCAGCGGTTAAAGTAAATAAACTTCGCGTGTTTGAACAATTTTCTGTAAGCTCAATCAGTTTCTAAAACAAACTTGATTTCATCAAATTTTATAAAAAAAATAAACAGCAGCAACTTTTTTGTACTGATAAACAATTTTCCGTTGTATGAATAGTTTGACAATCATTTTCAATGCAATGTGCTCAACCTAATATCTTTGTTATTTTTTAAAAAGTTTTTTGTTCCAACTTTTGTAACGAAAGTAACATAATATTTGTGCTCGGGTGGTTTTTTTTTCTTCAGACAAAAATCATTTTTTTAACTCGCCATTTTGACGCATTTTGGTTGCCATGCAAAAGGTATTGTTGTCGTGAGCCTAAATTTCAAAAGAAATTTCACCTGTGGTACTTTTGTATAAAGTTATGGGGGTTTAAAGATTGCCATTTTGGCCAATTTGGAACAATTAACGCGCGATATACTTCGCGCTATTAATTCGTTCCAAATTGGCTGACGGAAGCTTATTTGCCATAAATGATTTGTAACTAGGAGCAAAATTTATCATTTTGTACTCTATATGGTGTGTGGGGTAATAATTTTCAGTTTATGTTTGTAACATTTAAATTTTTTATGTTATTACTGCTCCATAGACTTTAAAAGGCAGTCGGAACATTCAGGACTTCGCCCTGATACGAGCAGTCTTGTTGATTTTGTTTTGAGAATCCGCCTTGAACTATAGTTTTTTCAATCGTGTTTTGACCAGAGAAAAACTACCCGGGTCGATGTAATCAGCTCATTTTATGTTTTGACCGTCTCGACCAAACATCGTAATGTTTCGACCGTCTCAACCAAAATTCGGTATGTTTCTTTCGTGCTCGAGTTATGTTTCGACCGCTCTCGAGGTATCTCTCGACCGTGTTCGAAGTATCTTTCTACCGTGCACGAGGTATGTTTCGACCGCGCTCGAGGTATCTTTCGACCGTGCTCGAGGTATGTTTCGAGTTTGCGCTCGACCGAAACCCCCTGTCTCGACTATTCTTCTCACATGTGTTCGACCTTGAAAGTCAAAAAATAAAGTGAGCACCTCGACCCGGGTACATGTCGCCGAAATATTATGTTTCATTAAGGATTCAAAATTGATGCTTCAAAAACCATTCAAGACATAATTTTTTCTATTGCTAAACTTTCTACGTCATTTGCATTTATTTAACAAGGAGGTATTTAATCCAATTTTCGAAGGAAAAAAAACGGAATGTTTCAGCTTGGTTTGCTTTTGTTCAGACCAAATTTTTCTTGTCAGTAATCAAAGTTTGATGATTAGTACCACCGCATTTTTTCATTTAAAAAATAAATCAATCGCTTCTGTACCAAAATCAATAAACGGTCCCATTTGTTTCAAAATAGCATAACATAAAAGTACAGTTACGAAAACTTATTTTAGCCGAGAGATAACAAGTATGCTCAGATAACGGTTTTTAACAGGTCAGAATATATACATGAGTTCACACAAGTTTTTGTAAAACTGCCTGAATTCTAATAAATTTTACAAGTTAACATTTGCAGTTTAAGAAAAAAAATTCTGGCCGGAAAAAAAATTTTCATCTATCAAAAAAGTAAAGGTCACTAAATGTAGCTTAAGAATCCAATCACAGACGTCACAGACTATATGAAAGAAGCAACAAGTACACAAAAAAAGCCGAAAAAAAACAATAAAAAGATTTCAAAGTTTTGAGTTAAAAATCTGTCAACGGTTAAAACAAACAAACGTTGCTTGTTTTTCTTAATATTCTGCGCGCTCATCTAGTGTCTGACTTATTTCTACTTCAATCAGTCCGATTTCAGAACTTTGTTGGCGCTTGCTCTACAAGAAGTTTATCTAAAAGCATTAAATGGTCATCATTTTTTGCTGAAGATCAAATTGTACGACTTTATAATGAACTTGCAAAAAAATCTCAGGTACTGTAAAAAAATCTCTGATACTTCATGATGACTTGGACTTAAATATTTTCTATCTAAGGAAGGTAAAAGCACTTTTGCGTGCACTGGAATAGTATTCGGGATAGAAAAATTCAATTTCAATCCCCAAAAATTAATCTAATTAGAAATTTAATTTAATTTCTTAAAATAGTCAAAAAATTGTTGAAACTATGAGTGCAAAATGAAAAAAAATTCCATCTGCGAACCTACAATTAGGAGTAATTGAAGTGTGCTGTAATAATACTAATGCGTAGCGTGTTCAGCGTGCTGTTTTAGCTGATATTTCTGTTTTGAGGTGAACTAATTGAAAAACCTCACACTAAAAAAGAGGAACTTTTAATTCGGGTCAGTTTGAGTATTTAATTTTCAAGCTTATTCATGTACCAAAACCAATCACCGAAATGGTCAAGTGATGTGCTAAATTAAGGTGCTTTCAGCCATGATTCAATTGACATTTTTTTGTGATTGCCCAAGTGTCAGGAAAAATAAGCTTAAATATTTGATTTTTCGTTCAATGTCGAGCGAGTAAAGCAATCGAGTAACAATCGTTCTATGCAAAAATAAGTTTTACTGGACTTTTAGGCCAAAAAGCCTCAATTTAACTTTAAAGAAAATTAGTTTGAAAAATATCAACTAAATATCAACTTGGCAATAAATTTTTTGGGGGCTTTGAATTTCTGAAACAACAACATCACACACTAAAACTGACACTGAATTGAACAAAAGAAAAAATAAAAAAACATTTGTTCAAATGAATGTGGTCGGAACATTCTGTGCTACTTGCACAGTAACCGGCTATCTTTGTTTCACTTTATAATTGTTGTCGCATATGAGGGTTGATTTTTTTGTGCTCAAAGTTTTCTCTTTTTGAAATTTTTATCAATTTCGTTTGATTTAAGAAAATTGAGTCTCTGAAAATTGTTTTGGAAAAATTACAAATTCAACAGTTTTTATATGTTGTTTTCAGTAGGTGAAAATTTAAAAAATTAAAAATTTCAGGCCAATTTCTGATCAATCTGATCAAAAAGAAGCGTCAAAGATCTTCTCTTAAAATTTGACAAAAGGTTACTTTTTCCAAAAAAAAACGTCAGATTTTAAATATCGTAGCATTACGAGGCCAAAATGTGCTTCAGATAATTGCACAATTTAGTGTCGGTTTGTTCCCGAATCCCAGCAACAAATATTTATGCTTGATCCAAAATTTAAGTGAATTCCACTTGCAAAAATTTCTTAGATTCCGTGTACAAATGCTAGTGACGTAAAATTTGTCGGCATATTGGTTTCTTATTGCAGATTCTGCAACGAGCTATTTTGGCTAATTATTCCGGATTCCACAAAATAAGCGAATTTTGCAAAATTTTTGCAGAATCTGCAAAATGTAAGCAAATTCCACAAAACTAAATTGATCGCAATTTTGTTTGTTATTCTGACCTAAACTAGTCTTTCCCTTGCGCAAATATTTAAGAGCTATAGCTAGAGTTTTTATCTAGCAGAAGCTAAAACTAAGAGCAGGAAATAAAACCATTTCAGTGGAGTCAATTTTTATTTTTTAAACCTTGAACCAAAACTGTCGATGTAACCCTTTTGCGTTTGAAATAAATGGAATTTATTAATAATTCTGCATTATAATCCATAAAACAATCTACCTCAAATTGTTTTCATTCTCGCAGTATTTCAGACCGGAAAGGTGGTCATTCTTTCAGTGTTTGAGATTTAGTCGTTAAGTTCAAATTGTTGGCAGTAAAAAAGATTAACCTGTTGAACAGTCTTGCTGATGATCTTCAAATTAGGTTCAAATTAAAATTCAAGACGTGTGTCATGTCATGTATGGTACCGGAATCAGCAAACAATTGCGGATTCCACATAAATTTTGCGAATTCAGCTTACACACTGCGGATTCCGCCGAAGTTGCCGATTCCGCAACAGCTCAGTTTTACTATGCCTTTTTTATGGTTTTTTTTCTGGTTTCCACAAAATGGTGTTGCGAATTCCACCAATTCAACTACATTCGGACCAATTTTCAGTGATTTGGCTATTTATTTGTGGAATCCAAATCAGCAAAGAAGAATAAAGATAAAAGCACCCTTGTCTTCACTAAAGCCGTTTTCATGAATGTATTGGAAAAATTTTTCCGATTATACAATCCAAACTTAAGAGAAACTTAAAATGGTTAGCATGTTTTGTTGAAGATGAAATTGCATGCCTTTGTTTTAAACTTCTGAGTGAACGTGAGGTTGTAGAAAGTTCTCAGATACTGTAAAAAATCCCCGATACTTCATAAAGACATGGGTTTAAACATTTCTTCTGTAAAAGAAAAGTAAACGCACTTTTACTAGGGGTAGAACAGTACTTGTCATAGAAAAATTCCATTTCATTCCTCTAATTTTTGTACAAACGGTACTGTATTTTTGATACAACTAAGACTCATTTTTCTTGTTTCGTTTTGGTGAAGGTGGGATAAATTTTTTGCAATTTTCTCCTTCAAGTCTAAGAATTGTTTCAACTATGAGTTGAACGTTAAAAGAAATTCTATCTGCGATATTTCAAATTTGGGTAGTGAATGCTTGCCATAATAGCATAAACGTGTAGCGTGTTTGGCGTGTTGTATTCTCTAAGATATCTAAGTTGAGATAACCTATTCGAAGAAAACAAAACCTATTAAAAGATGAAAACTTTCATTGTTTAGTTGAGAGGATTGTGGGAGGGAATGTTTCTTTTTTTTTAAATTTGATATTTTTAATTTTTTTTATTTTTGTTTGATATAAACAAAATGCGGAACTGCAGAATGAACTGTGAAAATTTCCTTTTTCAATCAGTAGCAGTCTTAGCGGGGGGCGGATGTGCCTTTTTCCCCCTCAGGGATTCGATCAATGCCGACACAAAATGTCTTCCTTTGTATTATTTTATAATATGCATTTTTGGCTGACGCAACCTGAAATTTTTGCTATTTTTGCCTACATTCAACAATTTTGAGAAAGAAGCACGCGCCGAAAAACAATCGTTTTTCGGTCCAAATTTTCCAAAAAGTGCAAAAAACGCTTTTTTGGCCTGTTTTTTGAGATTTTGACTGCGGCGCAGAATATTTGGACAAAACAGGGTCTTTTTAATGCTTTGGAAGAGCTCGGAAACTCAATTGAGTCAATCGAAAAAAAGCTCGACGAAACTTCAGACGGCCCACCTAAAGAAGATCTTAGTTCCGCCCCTGATTTCAACTGTTTTTATACGCTGTTTTTCAGTATGTGAAAGCTTAATTTTCTGTTAGGGTTGTTGTTTGACCAATATGATCTAGAAGGGGAGCTATGAAAACTCTTCTTCCAATTGATAAAAAATGCCTTTTTGAAGGAATTTTTTTAAAATGAAATATTTATTATTGTAGTGTATTTAATCACAGTTTTTCAAAGAATAGGTAAACTGAAACTTCAGTTGAAATATTTTGATCAACAAAATCTATTTGATAGTTTTTCACAAACAAAATGCTGATGCTGCGAAATTGTTCCGGCCTTTTTTGTTCCGATTTTCGAAGAAAACTGAATTTTTTATGCGTGTTCTGGTTTTTTTTCAGTCAATTTGGCCTCAATCGAAATAATAGTTTTGACAAATAAATATGCCCTATTGAAGATATTCACTCCCTGAAATCAAATACTAAAAGATATTTTACCTCTGATATTTTTTTTGCAAAATTCTGGGGGTTTGAAAACTGACATTTTAGCCATGCTCGGGACTATTTTATCGTAACGCGAATCGAAACGGGAAAGCGTAACGCGAATTATTTATGCGTGATGAATTATCCCGCACAACATAATTGTTCTAATTTCATTTGAAGCTCGCTAAGTTAATTAGCCGTCTTAATCTCGTGTGACTAATATTTTCACACTTGTTCTTTGATATTGCCCTATGTTTATAGTTTTTCAATATTTTCTTTTCCTAAATACTATTTGATATGGATTAGGGGGCAGTCGGAACGTTCAGGGCTTTGCCCTGATATACGGGCAGTCTTTTTACAAATCAGCAACGCTTGTTAAATTCATTGCTTACAGTATAATGATTTAGATGAAATGATTCACATAGCTACCATAATTTCAACTTTCTGAATGTCTCAATAAATTTCAAAAAACTGCATCAAAATAGTTTTAAATTAATCTGTTCAACACAATTTAACAAAAATATTTTAATCTAATAATGTTATTCGAACTAAATCAAGACTTGATACCTCAATTTTTAGACTCAAGCAATTTTATATTCTCTGTCTATATTCTGGCTAGCGCAATTTTTTTTAGTCTGAGGGAATTTGCAAAATAATTGCTACCTGATTAACCAAAATTAATGATCATTTTGCCACTTTGACTGATAGTTCAATTAAAATATAATTTTTACCGCAGGAAAAAATAAATTCAAATTTCCATTTTGAAACCAAATATCTTCTTTCTCGATACCTATTGTAGACACCAATTAGGAATAGTTTTTGCTTCAGGAAGTTATAAAAAAAGCTAACTTACACCATTAAACGATATATCTAATTTCTTGGCGGCGATACTATTTCGATTTCCTAATTTCAACACCAGGGACAAAATTTTACAGACTAGCTTGACAAGAAAATTGTCAGTTTACCAGCAGCTAATTTAGGGGGTGGGGGGATTGTGTACTGTAGTGTTTTGAAAGAGCTCGTAAAATCAATTTGATAGGCCTTAAAAGGTTGACTAAGTTTCCATTATTGAATTTTTGAAATTCCGACACGCTCCCCCCCCCCCCCGAAAAAAATCTTAGATCCGCCCTACTTACTAAATAATTTGCGAATACATGATGACACTTTTAATTAATTTATTGACAAAATTTGGCATTTTTTCACACAACTTCAGTGTCAGTTCTTGCATGCAGGTTAACTTTCCGCGTTCTTCTAGACGCCTTCCCAGTTGGCCGATCTTCTAGTTTAAATAGCACCTTCAAAGATCGTCTAACTTGACACTCGCTGTCTTTCGGCTGTGTGAGCAAAGATTCCGAATTATCTGTTTCTGGCACTTTTTTCCTTCGTTTGCGAACACATTTTATAATTTCTGTGAATTGTTCTCGGAATAAACTTTCGCTTCGGGCGTAGATGAAAAAAGTGAGCGAGAAATAGATGGCAAGTAAAAATTTAGACATATGTAAGCTAAAAACAGACAGCATATTGTAGTTGAAGTCGTCTTCCAATCTCGGTTCGAGAAAGTGAAGATAGCCATGGGTTCCCGTGAAGAAACGACTGCAGATTATGAGCAGGTTGTAGCTCCCGGATAGAGCCCCGATTTGAGACATGACAGTTTCTTCGTGTTCGTTTTCAATCTGGTTACGACGAAGTTTCTGTCGCCTAGAACAAAGCAAAGAGTTCAAAAAGCTGTTTAAAAAAGTTCCAATTAATTAGTTAGTCAGTTATGTTTTTAACTTCACAAAAAAAGTTTGGGGAAATTTCGATTTTACGATGTTTTTCTGAAATTTCTATGAGAAAAGAGCAAGAAAATCAGGTTTATATTAAATTTATAAATTTTGGATATATTTTTTATTTTTTCAATAGTATTTCAAACAGTTAAGCCGACAACCGTTTTAAATTTTTTTGAAAGAATTTGAAAGGACTTGTCGTAGAAACTTATGCACTTGCCGTTTCTTTCTGATGTACACTTGAAAGAAAATGAAAGCGATCAATGGAACTAGAGCGAACAAAAGCACTGCGTAGATTGAGTAGAATCTCTCCAGTCTGGTGCCCCTGACGACGTTGCTGAACCAGACTCGTTTGTTGAGAGGGTGGTATCCGAAGAAGACAAAGTCAGTTGTGCACAGACACCCCGTGATTGCATAGCAGATGGCCGCTGCCTACACAAAATAATTATTGGATCAAGTTAACACCCCTTCCCCTCCGCCACCCATTGGCTACAACCACAAATACCCCCCCCCCCTCCCCCACCCATTGGTTACAACCACGAATACCCCCCCCTCCACCCATTGGTTACAACCACGAATACCTCCCTCCCCCTCCCCCACCCATTGGTTACAACCACGAACACCCAACCCCCCCCCCCCCCCCCCCTTAGACCAAGTTGATATCTTCCGCTGCATATTTATTTTGGATTAAAACTGATTGGCGCTGCATGTAAACATCTCGTTTCTGATTGAGTGAATACGCTAACCAACAAACAAACTATCATCATCATCATCTTCCCTACAGTGTTTAATGGGCAATTTAAACGACCATTTTACACGAGGTAGAGGACATAAAGTATAATTAATACGATACACCGAATTTTATGCCAAAGCAAGAAAAAAGTTCTTCGACAATTCAATGACACCTTTTTAGCAAAATGTATGAAATATGTATGACATGTATTTTTTCATAGATTTAGTTTATGCAATTGTAAGATTAGCACTTTTAGTCTATGGAGGTCAACCCGGGGTAGGAGGGAGCAATATTCAGTTTTTTTGCCTAAAAATGTTATTCATCTTATGATTTACCAGTGCAAATTTTTGTTCATGGAGTGGGAAATACATAAAACGACTCTCCCCCCCCCCCCACTTCACTTAACTAACAATTTTATGGAGTAATAAGGAATCTTACAGGGTTAAGTATGAAGACAAAAAAAGTTTGCCATGACCCAATTAATCCGCATCAGGGGCGGATCTAGGATTTTCTCGAGGGGGCGGGTTTTCGAAAAAATTTCGAAAATTTTGACGACCTTTTTTTTAGGTCGATAAAATTGATTTTCCGAGCTCTCCTAAGCACTAAAGAGACGCTGTTTTGGCAAATTTTTGAAAAACCGGTTAAAAAAAGCCGTTTTTGGGCACTTTTCGAAAAATTTTGACAAAAAAATGCGTTTTTTTTGGCGCGCGCTCCCCCTCTGAGTTAGTATTATTGGTGCCCAAGGCGCCTTTAGAAAAAACTTAGGGTCAGTCGGCCAAAAATGGATTTCCTAAAAAGTACCAAAGGGGGACCCTTTGGGTCGGCAGTGTGTCGAATCCCTGAGGGGGGGGGGGGGGGTCCGCCCCCCCCCCTAAATCCGCCCCTGATCCGCATACCAATTTTTGTAACAATCGGATATTTGTGAACAAAAAAGATAGGAAAAAAAGCTCACAAGACCTAAGGCATTTTTTTTCCAGCATGGTTCGAGTAACCTCGAAAAAATCCCATAGGAAATCCAGTGCGATATCATATTATAGCCCTCAGGTCATGATTCTCATTTCGCTATATTTTTTGTTAAAAAAATTCAGTTAAGGTCGTGGAAAACAGTTATAAACTTAAGTCAATCGCACTGTTTTATCGGAAAAGGGTGAACGTAGAATACACTCCTAAGTTCAAGGCTGCCAAATATACTTAAACTCATTTTACAAAATAGGAAAAAAAAATTTCTTGTCATTGAAATCGAAGGTTTTTCTCTAGAAAGTAACCTTTCAACGTCTATGATTATTAATGCTAAACAATCAATATAAATCTTTTTTATGCTGCTTAAAACTTAGGTAAAATCTTAACGAGATGTGTGTCATTTATGGCAGCTCTTCAAAATTGTTCTGAAAAACCAAAAAAGCGTAAACCTGTATTACCCCGGTTTGAACTCCATAAACCAAAATACAAGTCATACAAATGCATAATCTAATTCTATAAAAAAATTGTTGTGTCTGTACAAATCAGTCCCATAGAAAACAGACCAACAAAAGCAGTCCGAAAAAGTATGAAATTGAACGAAAAAACAGTCCAATACAAAACAGTCCAAAAAACAACCCCAAGTAATAATTGCTCTAACAAAACGGGAGGCCGAGAATTGTCCTTTTATCAACAAACATAAACAACAAAATAGTGACCGCCTCAGTTGCGATCTTGCCAACAGAGGGCAGAACTGAATACGAGTAACTAATTAGAGCCGGTTATCGCCACCTAGCGGCGACCCGCGCACAGCGCGCCCACCGGCGACCTTAAACCGGACTGTTTTGTATCGGACAGTTGTTTTCCTTCGTTAAATAATTTTGGACTATTTTGTGTTGGACTGTTTTGTATGGGATTGTTTTGTATATGCACCGAAAAAATACAAACTAAACAAAAATCAAACATTTTGCTACAATGATGTCATCAACTTTTCAACGAAATGTTTTCTTACTATGCATTGTAAATACAAGACCGTCCAACCTTGGTGACTCACGTTTTGAGTAAAACCAAAGTCTTCGTCAGTTGTAATCGGTTACAACCACAACTCAAAAGTTTTATTAAACTTAAGAAAATGTCAAGTTTTTTAGTCTATGGAAAAAATCTAGTCTTAAAACTTCTATATATCAAAAATCTCTAATCATAGAGCTTTCATTCAATTTTCTATTCTTATCGAACTGCATGAAAGTATATGGTTAGCATATTTCCATAAATTAAAATTGTATGACTGGCTTTTTGGTCAACCCGGAACTGTTCTACTTTTTGTAGAAACGCATATGTCAGGCGCCGCAATTTAATTGTTTCAGAATCATTTCCAAATTCAAGTTAACCTTTTGGTTCAGATCAAAAATTGTGTAACTAGACAAGAAGTTTACATCGTTCCCCTCCAAAAATCGCCGTTTTTGTTTTGTTCTGTTTCGGCACACATTTTTAGTTGATGGCCAACGTGATTTGAGTAATATATGGAAATTAGTTTGCGCAATTTTTCCAGATTTCTTTCAACAAGAAGTGTCGGCAGCTAATTAATCCAGCTCGGTAATCGTTCCAGATTGAAGTGAGTCAAAACACTTTATCCTATACACACCTTTCACGACGAGAGTTTTTTCATCACAGGTGCTCAAAAACTTGACTCCTTTTCTTCTCATTTTCGGAAATTTCATTCCATTTTTTTTCTCTGCATTAACTAGCTCATAGACGGTTAGAAGCTAGAAGCAGCCAGAACATTCACCAGCTTTACCCTGATACTATTACTCTTTTTGTTTTTGGAATCTAACACGCGAAATAAATTCAAGGCATACTCGAAATTCAGGATGCATATTTTTCGCAATCACTTTAAAATATAGACTAAGTTGAAAATAAGTCAAATCTCTAATTTTCAATTTTTTGAACACTTTCATAAAGCAAACCTTTTAAAAAACAATAGCGAGAATATTTCGGGCTTATTGAACAGCAACTGAACATTGTTTGCTGTTTTAAATGGGTCTTAATTTGGGTCTTTTGGTTCAAGTGGGTCTTACTGCTTGTACTATTGGAAAAGCTACAAGCAGTAAGACCCACTTGAACTACCCACTTGAAAAAGAGCCACGCATATCCCGACCTGTGTTATGTGTGTCCCTATTTATAAAATTGTTGCATAGCCATTTTTCGTTTAATTTAAACACTATATATAGTATTCCTGCCTTGATTGGGTACTTGAGGTCCTGGTTGAGACTGACTCCGTGGTACACTGGGAAACGGAGAGAGAGGGCTCTGTCCCCTATGAAGGTGATTAGTAGGAAGTGGGAAGCCAGAATGGTCCAGTGGATCAGAAACAAGTTCAGTTGCGCGGAGAAGTCAGATCTGATTTCCACGCAGATTACACTGAAAAAAAAGACGGTTGCAAATAGTTTGGACAAACAAAATAAATTAAAAAGAGCCACCTGCCATTTTGCTGGCAGCACCTTTTTTGGTCAACAAAACTGAACAAAATGAATTAACCTAAAACTGCTCTTTTTTACGTCAGTCGAAAATCATGTATTTAAAAGGCATTTCAGCCTGTAAACCGTGTTGAAAAGTCTAGTTTTTAACGTAGACCGCTGGGTTTAAAAAGATGGAGCATGCTTTTCAGTTTGGTAATACATTTTGTGAGAGTTTAGCGAAGTTTAAATATAGTTTTATGATTCAACCGGAATGCGAACTAATTTTTTCAGACAGAGAAACAAAGAGTCAACGAATAACCGACTTTGCAGATAGCAACATTGAAAAAATTCAGGAATTTTGGGATTTTGACAAAATTTTACTGCATTTTATCGCGTTTTTGCGGCATCTGATAAAGCTGTGTCAAAAGATTCAATTTTCGCAAATGTAATCCTTCCATTTATCAAGTTACTGTTGGAGCCAAAGATAGTGTTCAATGATGGCTGCTCATCTGACAAAAAATAAAACTATCACAAAATAGTAATGACACATACACCGCATTCCTGGCGTATTTGGCAAAAGTAAGCAAAAGGAAAATAGTTCAGCATTCACAAAAACTTTCTCAAATAACTAAAGAACATGAAACAGGTCAAAACAAGCGCATCGTATCGTAATTTACCTGTTTCCGGGTACAGTATTCTACCGGAATTTTAAGCAGCTGGCTTTCGAATTCCGGAACCGGTTTTGTTCTGTTCTTAAATAAGAGAGTTTTTTGAAAAGGAAGCCTTTTTTGCTGGACAAGCTAGCCCTTTTTTTGAAATTAAACATCTCAAATTATTCGTAACATTCACCCATTAATAATTAACTACTAAGTTTCAGCGATGTTGGCAATTTAATTGACAGTTTAATTGATTTCAATCAAAGAGGTGCAATCATTTTGTTTCCGGCTATCGCATGATTCGAGAAAACCAAATTTCGGCCCTTACAGTAGAAAAAAAAACGGTCTTGCAGAGCAGAGTTTGAAAAAAAATCTTTAATTGAACGAAATTCTGATACGACTCTTACTAGATTCTTCCGAGAACCTTGGAAGATCTTAAAAGATTCTCATGAGATTCTTAAGATTCTTGCGAGTTTCTCGGAAGATCTTGAAAGATCTTACAATATTATTACAAGAATCTCAGAAGATCTTACAGGATTACAGCGAGATTCTTAAATCTTACAAAACCTTTCAAGAGTATTAGAAGTTCGTATTAGGTTTTTACATGAATCTTACAAAGTTCTTATAAGGGTCTTAAAGTTCTTGCAAGTTTCTTGGAAGATCTTCCAAGATCTTACAAGATTCTTACAAAGTTCTTGTAAGTTTTTACAAGATTCTTACAAAGTTCTTCTAAGATTCTTAAAGTTCTTTAAAAAATTTTGGAAGATCTTACATGGTTCTTACAAGATCTTACAAGACTCTTACAAGTTTCTCAGAAGATCTTACAGGATTCCAGCGAGATTTTTGGAAGATCTTACAAAATTTTTACAATTATCCCAGAAGATCTTACAGGTTTCCAGCGAGATTCTTAGATCTTACAAAATCATACAAGATTCTTAGAGGATCTTACAAAATTCTTGCAATGTTTTTACAAGATTCTTACAAAGTTCTTATAAGATTCTTAAAGTTCTTGAAAGTTTTTTAGAAGATCTTACAAGATCTTACAAGATTCTTACAAGATTCTCCGAAGATCTTACAGGATTCCAGCGAGATTTTTGGAAGATCTTACAAAATTCTTACAATTATCCCAGAAGATCTTACAGGTTTCCAGCGAGATTCTTAGATCTTACAAAATCATACAAGATTCTTAGAGGATCTTACAAAATTCTTGCAATGTTTTTACAAGATTCTTACAAAGCTCTTATAAAATTCTTAAAGTTCTTGAAAGTTTTTTAGAAGATCTTACAAAACCTTACAAGATTCTTACAAGATTCCTAGCAAATCTTACAAGTTTTCTACAACATTCCTACAAGATTGCCATAAAATTTTTACAAGATTCTTGCAAGATTTCTACGAGATTCTTACAAGATTCTTGTGGGTCTCTTGGAAGATCATTTAATATCATACAAGCTTCTTACAATATTCTCAGAAGATCTTATTATATTCTTGCGAGATTGTTAGAAGCCCTTACAAGATCTAACAAGATTCTTGGAAGATCTTACAAGATAGATCCCCATGTAAACTGTATAACTGACCCTTTGTAAAGCAAGAACATAGCCATAATTGGGGGTATGTTGGAGAGTGGGATTAGCAGTGCGAACACGTGGAAACTGCTGTCCACTTTAGAGGCCAGAACTAGCACCACAGCCAGTAGGTTGAGAAGAATTCCAAACAGTCCCGATAGAGGAAGAAGCACCTAAAAATTCAGGAATGGATCTAGAAATTTTGGGGGTTCCAAATCTTGGTTAATGCTCTTTGTTTAGTTCGACCAAATCACATTTCCAGGCTCAAGAATTATTTAAAAAAAACTATTTTACACTTCCCCTCCAAATCTGTACCTGTTGACAGAACACTATGCTACGAGCCCCTATTCCAAAAGGGGGGAATAGTTCAAGAGATGCCAAATATTTCAGTGTAACTACAAAACTCTAGGCTTATTTGAAATACTGGGAACAATGATTTGGTGGGGGGGGGGGCTATGTACAAAACGTGAAAAACAGTGTGCCACAAAGAGGGATAAGGATGGACTTTTGAACGGTGAGGGAGTTACATTTCTGGACGGGGAGCTTGGCAAAATAATTGTTTTTTTTTGTTTGTTTTAATGCTGTTAAACATTCATATTAAGAAAGCAATAAGAAAAATGAAATCAATTTTTCAATGCAATTTGTTAGTTGACGCAATTTGTTTTTTTTATTACTAAAAATTAGTGTTTGATATTTCCGTCAATTTTGCTAAATACAAAATCAAATATTGAATTCATACCGTGGTGAGCGTCCATGTTATATTGGGCAGATATGGGAAAAGCTTGTCCAGGCAATCCATCATCAGATCTATTGCCAGACTTTCTTTTTATTTGAACTCTGTTTTTCTGCTCTTCAACTTTTCGTCTCTCTGACTGTCAAATGATGGAACACATTGACCCATTGTAACGTCGTAGTGAATGGAAGAGGAAAAATAATGAAAGTAAGCAGGATATGCTAAGAAAAAAAACAATAGTTTAACTAAGTTCAATTACAATGCTTTTAGCCTTAATTTCCAGCCAATAACAGCTTCGAAGAATTAAGTGTTAGAAAATTACGCAAAAAAGTGTTTTTTTTTGGTTTCCCGGGGGCGAAAAATTACAAAAAGCGGGGGTAGATTAGAGTGATTAGGATTATGTTCAATTTCGATGTATTGCGTGAACAGGAAATCAGAAACAGAAACTACGTTTCTCGGGGTAATTTTTTGCGGATTCCCGTCATAAAAATGCTGAAGGGAAGGAAAAGCTATCAGTTTATCTAAGTATACGCAATACTTGTAGTGACAAGAAATATAATGATTTTTAATAAAATTACATGGTGATGATAAGCGAAAGTTTATAACTGGAAAGCGACAGGATATAACCAACTGAATCAATCTGTAGTGGAAGAAATTAATTTTTCAAAAAAAGCATTTCTTTCCCAAAAGAGATTACATATATAGTGATTATAACTACATAGAGTACAAAGTCCCGTTCAAACATAACAACCGCTCGTTGAAATTTTTGTTGAAGGAAAAATTATTCATTGAAATGAATATTTTCTTGCCAACTATATTGGAGTCTGAATAGCCAAAAATTCCGACCAGTTTTTCTCGTCTTAACCAATGTCAAAGACGTTTAAAAACATACCATTTAGTCTTATGACCTCCTTTCACGCTTTAGACTATGTTTTAAAATGTACAAAAATTGTTTTTTTTGTAATTGTAAGTCTGAAAAATTTCATTATTACTATTATTATTTATATGATACCTAGAAGCTACCTAAAAACGGGTAAAAAGCCCCGCCCTTTTTCCACCTTTTTTCAGTGACGAGGTCGAAGCAACAAGCGGAGCAGATTTAATTTTCGGTCATCATCATTACCATAAAAAATCGTTAAAAACCATAATGAACTGTTCTCAAGTGCGGTTTGTTACAATGATTGAGTATACTTTTCAATTCACCAACTGACGAAATTGAACGGATGCTGAAGGCTTTACAACCAATATAAAAAAACTAATTTTGTGAGGGGAAAATGGAAAGACCGAAAATACGCTTCAAGAAAAAAAAGAACCATTCAAGGAAGTTAAAAAAAATAAACCAAGTAGATTGAATCGGGTTTAAAACCACTTCACTTTTTTATCAACCATTTCCTTGTCAACTCTGTGTATTAGATTAAAAAAGTCGAGTATTAAGGAAACAAAATTTTCTCAACCATTTCTTTTTTATTATCATAGCAGAAATTTGAAAAAAAAAATCTGCTTCTTTTAAATATATATTTTTGTAATTTCTGCATTTTTTTTCGGTGCGAAGAGAACTGAAATAAAACTCAATGGAAAAAGGCAAAAGTGGCTGATGTGAAAGCGACTGTAGCAGGAAATTAGGAGTGACACAGCCTGTAATTGAATCCTCTTCAAACGATTATTTAGTTCAAAAAGCCAACTATCAATGGGTGTTTATTCGATACTTTGAGACCACCGATAAAACATTTTCTTAAGCCGAATAATGATAAAAAAACCCTCTAATCCCTACTAGCTTTTTGTTTAACTTGTTTACAAAAAACGAAGGCGAACAAGGTTACTCTCCTTTCCATGACAAAGAACAAGAAGAAAATTTAGTCTAAACTTCTTTTAGTCACACCCAGGGTCGGATCTAGGATTTTCTCGTGGGGGGCGGCTGAAAATTTTTTCGACCTTTTTTTTTAGGTCGACCAAACTGTTTTTTCGAGCTCTCCCAAAGCTCTGTTTTGTCCCTCTTTTGGCCAATTTTATGCGGCAAAATTTTGAAAAAACAGGCCAAAAAGGCGTTTTTAGGCACTTTCTGGAAAATGTTGACCAAAAAATTGCGTTTTATAGGTGCGCCCCCACCCCCCTCAAAATTAGTATATATTGGCGCCGAAGGCGCCCTTAGAAACATTTTAGGGTCCAACACCAAAAATGGATATTGGAAAGTAGTACAAGGGGGGACCCTTTGGGTCGGCAGGGGGTCGAATCCCTGAGGGGGAGGGGCGTCCCCCTCCCCTAAATCCACCCCTGGTCACACCGTAAAATTTAAAGGGTAAAATTGATATATCACCGAATAGTTCGAAGATTTATGAACTCGCGAAAGACATCTAGTTAACAATCTCCGCCTATCGAGAAGGGGGAGATTATTAAGCAGATTTAATTAATCGAATTTTTGACCAATCAGAATGCACTAGAGTTAGAATTCTTAATACGAATCTCTAGTGTTAATTTACTTCAATTATTTACAGAACCAGCGGATTTAGGGGCGGAGGCGGGGGTGGACGTCTCGCCTTCAGGGATTCGGCCCCCTGCCGACCCAAAAGAAAAAAGAAGGCTGAGCCATTTTTTAATTCAGGCTTTTGAGACCACAAAAATACGCTGCCACATTGAAAAAACGGGAACAATTTTTTATTTCGATTTTTTATTGATTCAAATTTTAAAAATATAAATTTCAATTTGTTTATACTTGCTAATTAGTTATTCTTGCTTGCGTGACAGTTTTCTGGTTTGTAAAATTAGTTAGCATTACGTTTGCAAAGTTCTTAAGCTCACGTGAATTCCCGTGTCCAACAAAACTTCTAATCGAGATAGAAATTTTTTATTGATCATTTAATCTAAATTTAGTTTTTTTTTCGCACAGAAGTTACGTATTTTTCATCTAACTTTAAAAGTATACAGTTTCGGGGAAAAATCATTTCACTGCTCAACCGCAACAAGATAAACATCCTTCGAGTATACACAATAGGAACACAAGGCAAGTTAACACTTGTTATAACAAATATTGCTTTGCTTTGGTTTGCTAATACTTATTGTAAAGATCAGGTTATGGCCTAGCGGTTAGCACAACCGTCTTTCCAGTGGTAGATCGGGCGTTTGAGCCACACTGGGAGAGGTTTTTAGCTAGAAATAGCCTTGACTTAGCTTATCTCCGATCTCCCTGCTATACTTAAACAATTCAAAAATAATTTCTGGCCAGATATATAGATTAGAAGTTAAGTATTTCTTGTCAGAATTAAAGAATTTGTTCAGTACGGGTATTTGCCCGAGTCAATTTCTCACAGGTCAATTTTTCCTCTCCAACATATCAGACATGACTTTTGGTTCTATATATTTTGTCTCAGAACTAGGACTTGAATCAGAGTCTTTGTCGGCAAAAAAAATTTTAAAGAGCTTTTCACGGAAAAAAGGTATCGATCGAGTAAGCTTCAACAATGAAAAACGGAATCGCTAAAACTTGCTTAGATTGAGCTGATACTAAAAAACCGCCAATTAGTCAATTGTGTCGTTGCGTTTTTGACGTCGAAAACATGGACAAAAATCACACTCTTAAGTAAAAAGCTCAAAACTTGAAGATGAAAAACAAAACTTATTCGAAAAAATTGAAAAGTACATATACTGCCCAGAGTGAAACATATTTATAACAACATTGCCATCAGCTCCAAAAACATTAATTGTTTTGCGGAAGCTGTGTGTTGAAAAAAAATTGTTTTTCAGAAATTCAAATAAAAGTGCAAGGAAAATGAGTCAATTTAGATCAAACTTTGCCAAAAAAATTTGATCAATTAATTTTTCCATAATTTTCAATTTTCAAGAGGGGTTAACAAAAAATGCAATTACATTTATTTCTTGACTTGAAGAAATTTGCAGAGGTTTGGGTAGCTTCTTTTTCGATTTAGATTAGGTAATCGAGATTGAGATGCTACTTTCAAGCGGCTTTTGTTGTAAACCTTCCATTGTTTATTGCGATACTCACTACAGACTGTTGATGAACGATACTTGCTCAAGGTTTAGTCCAGTAATTTCATTTTGAATTCTTTTTCGGAATAAAGAAATTGCAGTTATTTTATTCTTCTCAGTAAATTACTAGTTTCTGTCAAAAAAAAAGGTACATGATGAATCAAATTACGGATAAAAAATCATAATAGTATTTCTCATTTTTAGCGCATTTAATGTGCAATTAAAGCGTAAAAAATTGTTTGCTCCTAACTAATCGCTTTTTTTCATCGTTTTTTTTCAACCTAACAACTCCAAATGACTTTGTTTAATGAAATTTTTCAAAGAAACAACAGAGATAGCGGCAAAATTACTTCAAAGCTCGGTTGCCTTTTCCCAATCTCTGATCTATCGTACAGAAACGCGTTCCCCTAATATCGAGTTAGGGTGGATAAAAACAAAACTTTTAAAACCTACCCCCCTTGAGTATAGCATGAACTGTTATACTTTTTAGATTAAATTGGAAAAGGTTCCCGAGTTTTCCAACTTAGAAGTATTTTTGAACATTTGCCTGGATGAAGAAAACGCTGATGGTATTTTTAAAGAATATTAGTCTTCCGCTAACTATCAAAACTTTTTCAAAAGCTTCGCCAACTATCAAACCTTTCCGCTCACTTTTGAATAACATTAGGAAACTAGACGACAAGTAAATTGAACGTGACCAAAAAAAAAATTAGACGTCGATGCAAAACTACAATTCTGGGAAATTAGTTTTGAATTTTTTTTAACGTTTTGATATCACGTCTGAATTTGGTAACTTACCATAGGTATAATTTTATTTTTTTCCCAAATGGCATAAATTTCAGCTGATGAAAAGTGTCATTAACAAAAACAGTAGTCATCAAATTCATAATATTTGACAAAGATAAATAAGTAAAAACAATTTTTCTATTCGACAAAAACATTCCCATCATAAGTATATCACCTATTCTCCAGGATTATTGCTGCCGATTCAAAGACTTTCACTCAAGGCAATTTCTTAGTTCTAATTACAATTAACTTTGATCCAATCTGTATTTTTTTCAAGCCGCAAAATTAACTTCGCGATTTGTTTTTTGGCGCTCTGTACCCCCCAAGTATTTGGCTAAAAAAGCAGATTGACCAAAAGTCTGAAAACTATTTTTTTTCTTTCAAAAACTAGATGAAAGATCCAAAAAAAATTGAAATACACTAATTCAATTTGTTTGTTCCTCCGACTAATAAACGTTGAAACCGCAGCTAAAGTTATGTATTTCGTTAATTCACAGATTTTTCATTACGGCATTTACAATTAACTAATCAGGTTTGCCCATCTTCTGTTTAATGATACATCCAGTGGCGTATTTAGGGGTGGGGGCTCTCATTTCAGAGATTTCAATTGAGGTCATTTTTTGTTAAGTTATGGGGGCTTAAAGGTTGCCATTTTGGCCAATTTGGGACAATTTTGGCCAATTTGGGACAAGAGGCATTTTTCAAATTTTTCCTGCGGCGCAGAAATTTTGACCAAAACAGAGTCTTTTTCGTGCTTTGGCAGAGCTCGGAAAACCAATTTAGTCGACCTAAAAAAAATTATTGAAATTTTCGAATTTTTTTGAAAATCCACCGTCAAGAAAATCCTAGATCCGCCCCTGCCCTAAATTATATTGATTTGATAGATATCGGAAAGTCGTTTTGGCCGACCTACCACCAATCCAATTATTATAATATTTTTAATTTTTTTCTTAGCAATACTCATTTACGGCCTTTTTTAAAAGCGCACTTCGACCTCATTTAAAAACTTCGGCCTGTTTTTTAAAAATTCACGTGCTTTTTTGGGGGAGGGTGTTCTGAAAATTTTTTTGGTTGGTCGACCTGTAGTTTTTTTATGAAAACTGCCTCTCTCAAAAAAGTGCGAACACTACAAAGCCAAGGTTGAGCAGCAAATTATTTAGTTCTAAATGAGATTTGCGGTCGAACCGACAAACCCAAATGAACCGAACCACTAGGGAAGTCTTTTTAGAGTAATTCACTTTCGAGGTGAACTTGAAAATGCCTCTTTATCTAAAGAACCGCCCTCGCCTCTTCCGTCCTCTGATTAGAGCGTCGTGTAATATGTGACAGCTGACTGTGGAAATTAACTAGGCAAAGTTTCCTCTTTTTTCATCTAATGTGAGTTTTCCTTATTACTTCTTTTTTTCTAATACATGTATATCTAATGCCCTTATCATTATTCTTAATCTTCAAATGCCCAACTTCTAATTTGTTGTTACAGCCATGGCCTAAGACGTGAACGAACATGTTTTAGTGGGTAGCCTGCTGAGGCGGGGGTGGGGGAGGGGGGAGGTTAATTTGTGGGTACTTCTATGGTCCAATTTTACGTCAGCCATTTCGGGCTTTAAACCCTTAAATTTTCAAAAAGCAGGTTCTTGCGCAAATTTTTACTTACTTTATCATACAAACAAAAATATATCTAGTGAAACAAGTT